TCTGAAAGAAAGATGTTCCAGGTATGTTTATTGATTAAATAATTTATTTTATGTCCATTTTGATATTTTTACAATGTCTTGGTGATTTTTAATTTTTTTGGAATTGCTGGAATAACTATAAACATTTTTGATTGAGATCATGAATCAATTGATGTTAGACCACAAGTGAAAACCTGGAGGCACTTGACGGATGTTTCGTCCTATTGTGGGACTCCTCATCAGTGCACATGCACGACTCCTTACGTGGGATTCGAACGCAGGACCTTCGGTCTCGCACGCGAACGCTTAACTTCTAGACCACTGATCCGGCATTCAAGGGTGGTAATGTCTAACTTCCATATATCCATGAATGGCTAGGCAACCATTCATCCATTGTCTGAGGTAGATACTTGTGTCTACCCGAAACGGATTGAACCCCACTGGTCACGGCTTCTCACTAGAACTCCAGGAAATCATCTGGGGACCATTCACTAGTGAGCATATGATGATTATTACCAGCATGGTTTTGTGAAGATTGTTAAGTTTTTGGTTGAGATCATGAATCGATTGATGTTAGACCACCAGTAGTCTAGTGGTTAAGCGTTCGCACGCAAGACAGAAAGTCCTGGGTTCGAATCACTCGCAAGGGATCGTGCATGCGCACTGCTGAGGAGTCCTATACTAGGATGGAAAGGCAGTCAAGTGCTTCCAGGTTTCCGATGGTGGTCTAACATGAATCGATTTGTGATTTCAAACAAAAACTTAACAATCTCCACAACCCCATACTGATAATAATTATAAACCAATCAAAAAAGGACCTCATCAAATAATTCTATATACCCATTTGTTACAAGTTCCTTTTAAGGCAGATGTATTGTGTCTGACATTTGAATCAAAGCAATTGTTTCCTTCTGCTTGGAACTTGTCATCGAAATGTACCTACAATTTAGTAATGATGTGCACACTGAGACTCGAGCTCAATATATTTCATCTCAAATTCCAAAAACATGAGAAGCTAATGTCTAAATAGTATGCAATTTAACCAGTGAGTTGTTGATTGGAAATTCACTTCATTGAGACTATAATTTATAGAAGAACCAATCAGTTATAAGATAAAAGGTCTTGGATTTTTTGAGCGAAATTCACTCATCCATTTGGCTAAGTAGAGTTTTGGCATTGTAACTAATGTCAGTTCGTGATAAAACCCTAAATCTAATTCCTAACCTTAACTATCAACTGTAAATCATAATTCTTATTCGTCACACTGTTTTACAACCTTCAGATGATCCTAATTATTAGGTGGACACTCTCAAGATTGCTCCAGCGTCGCTCAAAGGTCGTCCATATATTATAGTCTCACCGTCACTTCTCTATACATTGAATTAGACAACTTAGAAATTTCGCTAGTAAATTAAAAGATAAGAATCTGTTGAATTAATGAGTCGATTGAAGCTAGACCACGATGAAAAACCTCGAAGCACTGGACGGCCATTCCGTTCTAGTACAGGACTCCTCAGTAGTGCGCATCCACGATCTCAAACGTGAGATTCGGGCTCGGAACCTTTGGCCTAGACCACCACAGATAACCTGGAAGCACCGGATGGTCGTTACTACAATCTCCACAAAACCCCCTTTCTGATAATAAGAATCTGTACTTGATTAGTGAGTTGTATGATGTTATCTTAAATCCATGTATATTTATACGTAAACTGCAAAATATATAGTGTATCTTAATCATTTTAATCAGATTACCCGTTTAGAAAATATATCAGACAATATTATAACAGTAACGTACAATTTGAATTACTGATAAGTAATGTTATTTATGATTTTGAAAAATAAATACGTTAAATTGTAAGTAAACTATAGAAATTCGTAACAGTTCATGTAATGCTTATTGAACTAATGAGTGGGGAATTAAAAGAAATTTTCACTGAACATTAAATTAATGAATAGGAACATTTATGGGTGTCTTGTAATGTTTTGAACTAACCCTTTTTTAAGAAGATCTAGTACTATCAAGTGTATCAGACTATAATATATATATATATATATAAATATCAAAAGTACTAAATCCAGATGATTAAGAAGATTGATGATAAACAAAACTAAGTAAACGAAACAAGTATCAATGTTTAGGTAATATTAGAACTGAATGTTCATGATTTCTGGGTTATATGAATGGATCTTAACTACCTTTGTCTTTGAGTAGCGCATATGATACATTTGTTATCTATCACGAGATTATTAGTAATACGCTTGATAATACATCATTTTAAACTTGCAAAGAAACCATAGTTAAATTATACAGTTGTGTTTCATCTAGTGTTATCATATTAAGCAGAAATTGATGGTAGCATTGGAATCCAGGACGCAAGTTCCATCTTATTTGCGACTCGTCAGCAGGATATACCAGTGTCCCAGATTTGATGTTCAATCTGGGACTCAAACTCAATACTGTTCGCTTCAACTCTGGGATGCAGGTTCACCTACTTGACGAGTCCAAAATTAAATGAAACGTACTTCCTAGATTTCACTGTTAGCCACCATCCATCTCTGCTTGCAATGCTTATGACTTAAAATAATATCGAGGTAATTCGTACAGGATGCATATATTGTTAATAAGAGACTAATTCATTGCAGTGGTAAACAGCAATGGGAAGATTCAAACAACCAAGACAAATGAATTATTTGTATCATACTTTTATATACTTGCATATGTCTAGTTTGAATCATTGTGATTAATTTTAGCTCAATATTAGTCTATTATTTTGTAGATAGAAACAAGAATAAATGATGTTGAAAACAGTAATAACGTCTCAAATACTATTTAGTATTTATTGACTAGTAAATATACAGATTTTTTGGAAAAAACATTGATCTACTACTAAACATTGTGATAATTTTAGTAAATCAAATGAATACAATTTGAACTCTTATCAGTCCATGTAAATGATTAGTGTTAGATACGATCATCTCCAGATGTCTGTTATCTTTTAATTGACATTCAATAGAACTAGATTGATTCAAATTAAATAATTGAAGAGCATGATAAACACATAGTGTCTAAAACATGAACTTACAAATGACAGTGAATAATTCCTCCACCCAATCAATCATCATAATGTAGACTAGGTCAAATCTGATGACAGGTGGTGATCAGTGCATAGGCCAAGCCCATATATATATACTTTATAGACTGTCTATTGAACAAATGAACTTATTCCAATGATGTCTTGATTTTTTGACCTTATCAATTAAACAAGTCAACTCGTTTATCAGGTCATGTTAAAAATGCCCAGTACCACTCAAAAATCTTTGTTTCATATACAGTAAAGTAAAAACATGGTGTATGTGTTAAGAGATGGTGAAATGAAGAATTCGCTTGTCTGATGAAAACTGGCAAATTATAAATTCATCTGATTAAATTTTTTTTCATTGATACATTAATCTATAGTTGATATGACCTGTAATTTTAAACAGATTTTCCTTTATACTATATCAAATTAATATCAATGTTATAATAGTGATTAAATCAAAAATCAATTTTCATTGAAAAAAATCAATGAAGAACATGACGTTATTGAATTAACTAACTCACTTTATTGTGAGATTTATCAACTGTTAATTCATGTAACCCATTGATACCATTGAATACACAATTATCAAACTCTGTACACTAGTTGATCCCAGTGATTTACATTTGTAATTTCAATCATATTTTTGCTATTCACGCTGACAATCCCTAATATCATATTGTATTATTATTGCTATAATTATTGACTAGCACTTAACTAAGTTTAGACCTCATAAATTTTTATTAATGAAATCAGTAAACTTTTGATAAAATTTCCTTCTCTGAACTGGGGGCAAGGTGGTCTATTCTTCAATCTTTCATTATCTGGCTAGTTAATACTATCAGCACAAATTTCTGATAGAAGTGTGACATGTGAATTTCTTGATAGGTGATTAGTAAGTTATTCTGTAGAATATAGATTTGATTAGTTGTCGTTGACATTTGCCTTGTTATCGTCGACATATTTCACTCGTCTTCCTCATTAATCTGATTTTTGACCTTTAGGTTGTTTATGATTTTCCTGATCAGTTGATAATTTTGGTCGATTTCATGAGATTCGAAGCAATTAGTCCCTTTGATAGATCTGGATAGTATAATAAGAAGACGAGGATTAACAGAACTATGTGATATATTAGCGTGTTGAGGTTTATTATATTTGTTTCCTGTTATCTTCCATTTGTCCAGTTAACCTTTCAATTTGTCATACATAAATGTTCTTAACAAGTTTATGTGTGGTCAGATTGTTTGAAATGTATTGCGTTAATATATCACATAGTTCTGATAATCTTCGTCTTCTTATTACACTATCCGAATTGATCTATTTCAGTATGTTCATTGATGATTAACTAAAATGAATGTTAAACTTCTAGGAATTCCTCGGTCTTCTTTGTATTACTTCTGTTCAAGATTTCAATGTTTTTTTTCTAGTCACAAGTATATCCACAGTTATTTACATGTAATTATATCAGTAGAGATATGCCTTAGTATTTGGACGCTAATCAGTATTCATGTAGACGAAGATAAAGAGAAGGTGTCCGCTTTATTTGACATATATTTCTACCATATTAACCAACACTACAAATCAATAGGTATATGGCGATATTTAATTACAAAATTTAAACATCTCACCACTATCTATCATATATACTACTTATTTAATAGTTATTTAATTCAATATCAATATAAAACAACAACTAACCGGCAAAATAAATTGATTAATTCTTGTTTTCTAAAGAAATAAACAACAACGACAGCAACAACAACAACAACAACAGCGTAAATTAACTAAGTTGTATAAATTCTTTAAAATTTATTTATTGATTAATTCAAATTCATACCATTTAAACATTCTCTTTTCATTATAATCATGATTAGCATCATAATCAATAATAATCAATAATCAATATGGAAGAGTACTTTCTTTCTATTGTTTTCTTTTTTTCTTGTAAAAGAACTAATAATCTCTTCCATTATTGATTTTTAATGAAAGGTCATTTATTTATTCATATCAGCTGATGGTAGTAAGAAAAAAGAATTGAACATTAAATTATTAACAATATTTAAATGTACTACATTTATTTTATTTAAAATTATTCATTTTCTCACAATGAATAACTGTAATTGTTTGGTGAATATTTTTTTTGTTTTAACATGAGAAAGGAAATGAATAACATATTTTATTGTTTTTTAATGAATTTCGTTATATATGCTTTTTTCTTATTGAATAGTTTCGATAGAACAATGAGAAGACGGAGTTGATCTGAAAAACGTGATATATTTGCTCTATACATGATGAACATTCTAGTCACACATATACATGTCAGGGTGTTTTATATGAAGGTTTTATTAAAAAGTTTAGGAATAACTCCGCCTGGAGCTCCTCTGGGGCTAATGCCGGTCCCGAGCCCAGATAAAGGAGGAGAGTTGAGCATGGGGTTAGCGACCCAATCCCATAGGAAACTAACTCTCTGAAAAAACGCTAACCGGAAAAAATTATTCAAAACATTTAAAATCTGTCCCAGAAGTTGAGACATCTTCATTTAGAAGAGTTATGACGCCTAATGGTGAAAGCTGAGTTCCTTCGGAAGTCACGAGGCTGATGCCCCTTCTGACAATCAGAGCAACCATTTATTTAGGTACATGGAATGTTCGTACAATGTGGGAGACCGGGAGAGTCTTCCGAATTGCTGCAGAAATGAAGAGATACAACCTAGAAGTGCTTGGAACTAGTGAAACACATTCGATGCAGGTTAGACAACAACGGCTAGCTTCAGGGGAGCTTCTGTTATACTACGGTCATGAAGAAGAGAATGCTTTACATACAAAAGGATTTGCACTGATGCTGTCCAAACAAGCATAGAAGGCAGTTGTAGGCTGGGAATCTCATGGATCAAGGATCATCAAAGCCTCCTTCCAAACAAAGAAAGAGGGCATTTCAATGAACGTTATCCAATGCTATGCGCCTACTAACGACTACAATGAAGACGTTAAAGATCAATTCTACAGTAGCCTGCTGTCAATCGTCGAGAAGTACCCAACAAAGGACCTGACCATTCTGATTGGAGATTTAAATGACAAGCTTGGAACGGACAACACCGGATATGAAGACATCATGGGACGACATGGATTGACTGGGAGAAAGGAACAAAAGTGGTGAGAGACTTGGGATCCCATGTGCCTTCAATAAACTGGTCATTAGCGGCATTATATTCCTACACAAACGCTTACACAAAACCACATGGACTTCAATGAATCATACTACGCAGAACCAAATTGATCATATTTGCATCAACAAAAAGTTCAGGAGGACAATGGAGGATATGAGCACCAAAAGAGGAGCTGATATAGCATCAAATCATCACTTGCTGGTCGCCAAGATGAAACTGAATCTCAAGAAGCACTGGACAACGGGGCGGAAAATATCACAAAAGTTCAATACGGATTTTCTTCGGGATACTGGCAAACTCAACAAATTCAGGATGGTCCTTATCAATAGATTCCAGGCCAAGTAGTTAGCGATCAGTACCAGCCGAACAAGAACAGAAAAAGCCAAGGCACAAGCTGAATACACAAAAGTAAATAAGCAAGTGAAGAGGAGCATCAGGACCGACAAATGTAAATATGTGGAAGATTTAGCAATGACGGCAGAAAAGGCTGTAACAGAAGGAAACATGAAACAGTTGTGTGACACAACAAAGAAACTCGCTAGGAATTATCGCAGATCAGAACGACCAGTGAAAAACAAGGAGGGCAAAATAATCACTAACGTCAAAGAACAGCGAAACAGGTGGGTAGAACACTTCAAAGAACTCTTGAATCGACCAGCTCCACTGAACTCACTCAACATCGAAGTAGCACCCACGGGCATCCCAATGGATGTTGGCCCACCAACAATTGAAGAGATCAGTATGGCTGTCAAACAAATCAAGAGTGGCAAAGCAGCAGGACCAGACAACATTCCAGCAGGGGCACTGAAAGCAGATGTAGCAGTAACTGCAAAGATGCTTTACATTCTCTTCAATAAGATTTGGGATGAGGAACAAGTACCAAAAGACTGGAAAGAAGGACTTCTGACCAAAATACCAAAGAAAGGAGACCTCAGCAAGTGTGATAACTACAGTGGTGTCACTCTTCTCTCAATACCGGGAAAAGTCTTCAGCAGGGTATTGTTAAACAGGATGAAGAACTGCGTAGACGTCCAACTTCGTGACCAACAGGCAGGATTCCGTAAGGATAGATCGTGTACAGACCAAATCGTAACTCTACGGATCATTGTGGAACAATCAATTGAATGGAATTCATCACTCTACATCAACTTCATTGACTACGAAAAGGCATTTGATAGCATGGACAGAACAACACTATGGAAGCTTCTTCGACACTACGGCGTGCCCCAGAAGATAGTCAATATCATACAGAATTCCTATGATGGATTACACTGCAAAATCGTGCATGGAGGACAGTTAACAAAGTTGTTCGAAGTGAAGACCGGTGTTAGACAAGGTTGCTTACTCTCACCCTTTCTCTTTCTCCTGGTGATCGACTGGATCATGAAGACGTCAACGTCTGAAGGAAAGCGCGGGATACAATGGACATCTCAGATGCAGTTGGATGATCTAGACTTCGCAGACGATCAGGCCCTTCTATCCCAAACGCAACAACAAATGCAGGAGAAAACGACCAGTGTAGCAGTAGCCTCAGCAGCACTAGGTATCAACATACACAAAGGGAAAAGCAAGAATCTCCGATACAACACAGCATGCACTAATCCAATCACACTTGACGGAGAAGATTTGGAAGATGTTAAAACCTTTACATATTTGGGCAGCATCATTGATGAACATGGTGGATCTGATGCATATGTGAAAGCGCGAATCGGTAAAGCAAGAGCAGCATATTTACAACTGGAGAAAATTTGGAACTCAAAACAACCGACTGCAAGTCAACACCAAGATCATAATTTTCAATACAAATGTCAAGACAGTTCTACTGTATGGGGTGGAAACTTGGAGAATTACGGAAGCAATCATCCAGAAGATACAAGTGTTTATTAACAGTTGTCTATGCAAATACTTCAGATCCGTTTGCCGGACACTATTAGCAACAACCTACTGTGGGAGAAAACAAACCAGATTGCAGTGTAGGAAGAGATCAGGAAGAAGTGCTGGAAGTGGATAGGACACTGTTATAACTGTGAAAATAATGCTGCTGAAGGATTAAGGGATAGCGAATTATTGATCGGACCAAAGACGCACAAACACGTAGAACGACTTAGGGTTCTGATTGGTCTCGTTTCCCTGCCTAACCCAGCCAGTTGAGTCCAGAACACAAGTTTCAGCCTCTGAGATATGAATCATTATATTTCAAACATACTTGTTTATATACCATTCAAGCAGTCCACAACGTACCATAAAATAGAAGATAACATTGTACAATAATGGCCAGTAGGAAAATGACACGTTAAATAAATACTGACCAATAAGATGATACTATTTCATGTCCAAGGATAGCACTAGGCTTAACAGGATAATTTTTGGGATATTTTCCTGAATATCCCAACAGACACACATTGAAGAGAACTGTTAACGGCGTCACAAGGCAAGCCCTGACTTGTGATCGTGAAGGCCAAAGAGGGAGAGGAAGATGAAGGAACACATTGTATCGAGAAATGGGGACAGACATGAGAAGAATGAACAAGAATTGGATATAACTAGAAAGGAAGGCCCAGGATAGAGTGTGTTGGAGAATGCTTGTCGGCGGCCTATGCTTCATTGGGAGTAACAGGCGTAAGTAAGTAAGTAAGTAAGAATTTCTTTTCAAGATAATTATTGCCATGTTATTAAAATGTATGAAAATTAGACAAATAATATTTCAGCCTAATTTGTTACTTTCTGAGATACTTTAGGAATAGTCAACATATATTTATGAGTGACAAAAAACAATTTCTCAAAAAATATTCAACATAGAATTATAATTAATTATCTACTTTTTATATGAGATTAAATTATTATTCCGTTTTAATGAAGTTGAGTTCTTTAGATTAAATAATTTAGTTGTGAAGTTATTGTTTTTTTCTTGACAACATTACCAACAGTTGTACACATTGAAAAAATACACACAACAGAAATGGCTTATTTGAATTTCACTTCTTGTACAGAATGCAATTTCATTATTAAATATCTGTTTGATCTTTAAGTATTATTGTTTACTAAGACGTTATTGTTTTATGAACTGTTATCAACTGGAAAAGTACTGAATAGTAGTAACCAGTGTCCAAATATTTGTGGAACTGCTGGAATTTAGAACTGAACAATTTCTTTATAGAAACTAAAAAAATCGAAGAGTATAATGTTTTATTTACAACTATTGTGACATGAACAATTAGGAATAGTGATGACCTAATAGCTTATGAGACGACATCCTGAGAATTATAGTAATAAGTGTTGAGTTTTGAGCTTCTTAGAGAACGCAAACTTGTACGATGGGAAGGACAACATTATATTGATAAATTCCACTGTTTACAGAACACTGTGACATATGTCTGTTTTAGTTTGTACTGTCGTGCATTATTCGATTATTGATGTATCGCCTTTCGGAATATTTCTCTGAAGAAATCTTAAAATAATTGGAGTCCACTTAGACAAAACTGTTTTACAGTGAAAATCAATAAGTCAGTGATAGTTAAGGAGACACTAATCAGTTGGATGTACTAATGAGAAGATACTTAGTGATAATCACTCACAACCACCAAAAATGAAGACTGGTCATTAAAACGTGTTATAAACAGAACATTTGCCTCGCTTCAGTTATACCACTGGGGAAATATAAATACTTTAGTAATTTAATTGATCAAGATAACGATTCATGTTTTTAACATACTATATGGATTGTGAACTTACGATTCGATAAACGAGTTAACGAATTTTCAAGTGTATGAATAAAATCCCGGCTGATAGATGAATTTCATGACACGATGTAGCTGAGTGACGGCTTTTATGAGATTGAAGTACTGACCTAAATTTCTTGAATAGCTTGATATTAAATAAAATATCACTAGTCGAAATAGTAGGTTCCTATTTTCGAATGAAACAATGTACTGGTTATAACTCATTTTGTATTTGTTTATTTGAACCTTCACATTGATGTTTAGGATTGCAATTGATCAGTCTCTTATTGACATATATGCATTCTGTACGAATTTCCTCGACATTGCCTTAAATCACAAGAGTTATGGATTTCATAATTCGCTCAAATCCAAATGAAATTTAGACTAGATTGCTAGATTCAAGTTTTGCTTGACAAATCATTTGTATATTTATTACAAACTATATGGTAATAAACTTGATTATCCTAAATTTCAATATATTCTATGAATTTGTATTCGAGGGGGTAGAGAAGATATATAGATTAGGTGGATGATTTTTATGGAGTTTTGTCCTCTCACCTGGATAGTTTAATTATGAAGCTTTTAGTGTCCTTCTGGACGATATCATCAGAATAAACTTCAGATAAAAGTGAGCTATCTCCGCAATTTGTTCTGTCGACTTTGATCTTGAATCATTCAAGATCAGTTGCTTATTATTATTACTATTATTATTATTATTGTTAATGATAGTACCAATAATGTTGGTCTACTCTCACAAGCAAATAAAACAATTATAATCGAGTTTAAACTCAGTAAGCAATGGATATTTTGTGATCCATATGGTTTCATGAAGAAATTTCTCCTAGTACAGTCTAGGATTTTTTTATTATAAAGACTAGATTCATATTTTCAAGTGATAAATATAGAGTTGTGTTTTGTAAAATGCATTTTTAGTTAAAGAAGAATACAGTGAAAAATCAGATTACATATGTTAGTAACAAATTTGGCAAAAAGGAGAGTATAATGAATATTTTGCGTGGGTAGATTGTAAGCCTACGCAAGTTGGCCGGATAGCGGTTAGAGCATGTTTTATCTCTCTCGTCGGTATGTATGTATGTGCGTACGTGTAAGTACTCATAGCAAGAATCAACCAGTAGGTGTAATAAAAATAGAGAAATTACTTTTTTTTATGTTATAAACTATTGCCAATTTGTATGTGTTTTATATATCAATATTATTGTTGTAGATAAATACTTAAATTACTGTTGTAATAATCAGTCGGTCATTTAGATTTACAAGAACATTGTACATGAATTGAAATTCAATATAGACAACCATATGAATATATCTTCATTGACGTATAATGTGTAATGATCTAGAGATTCCTAATCAGTAAATATTCTTAGATAACGCTTTGATAGTTAAGCAGATATGTGTTGTTTTAATTTTTATGAAGAATGAGTCAATCAGTATATTGATAATAAATGATAGATATATATTTTCATCCCAACGTTTATTTTCAATAAGTTTTCTTAGAAGAAAAATTGTCTGATAAACTTAATAACTTACAAGTAAATGGATAGTCAAATGAACTGAAAGAAACTCATTCTGGTATCAAATAGTAGGTTTGAAGTGTTTCACATTATGTGCACAGCAAGTTGGTAGTCAGTATTTTAAACTCAATTAAACGCTTATTTATACCCTAATGACTGTCACCAACAGTACATAAGCCCATTTCAGAAATCAATATGACTTCCGAAAGTTAGTAAACTTTTGGAGTTGGATGTTTTTGCCCCAAATGATGAAGGTATCTTTTGTATATATTGTATATTACGGGAATTCGTCACCATTCGTCATCATTATACCCGTTCAGTTAATATAATCCATGAAGGTGACACTCAGATCCATATCTCGACTAAACAGTGTTAGATCCTTATTTCTTAAAGATCATTTAATTGTGTTCTGTTTACAGTAGCTATTTAGTAGTTAATTATTTAATAATCTAATATTCACAGTAATTAACAATCATTCATATTTATTGTTTAAAATTCATGTCTCATATCATAGTCAAGTCACATATATTAATGATTAGGCTTTTGAACTGAAATTATACACTGAATTTATCAATTGTTCTTGAATTGTAATAGAAATGTGGGCTTAGTGACAATGTTTACGTTTACAACTTAAGGGAGTGATACAATAACCACATATTTTACAATAGACATATATGTCATTTTTATGGTTGAATTCATGAGTCAATTGAAGTTAGACCACCATGGAACACCTGGACATTAACACCATTGGGTGCCGACTTAGTGGTCTAGACGTTAAGCATTCTCACGCGTGACTACTTGGTCCTAGGTTCGAATCTGGTGGGACGGGATCGTGGATGCGCACTGTTGAGGAGTCCCATAATAGGACGAAACGGCCTTCCAGTGCTTCGAGGTTTTCCACGATGATCTAGCTTCAATTGACTCATGAATTCAATCATAAGATATTTATGTATTGAATGATTATGAAAAAAATTTAGTAAATAATATAGATGGAAAGATTATTCGTTTTATTTGTCAAGTTACTTTTCTTTTAATTTCTTAATAAATTTCTTTAGTTATTCAAATCGTACTATCTATAATAATCACTTTAAATCGATGATAGTTTTTCTGAGATACAATATTTGTATTCATGGTATTTATCAGTCAGAAAGTTTACTTAATAACAATATTAGAAGGAAGTTATGTTCAAAGATGGATAGTGGCTAGCAGTGGAATCCAGGACGCGCCACTATCCATCTTTGCTTATAATGCTTGTAAATTAAGGTAATATCAAGGCATACGCACAGTATGCGCATGTGCCAATAAGAGACTGATCAATTTCAGTCCTAAAATATCAATGGCAAGATTCAAGTAAAACAATACCAAGTGAAGTTATGTTCAATTGAAAATTAACTCATTTATATATATCTTATCAGATTAATGATAATCTAGTTGTTAAGTAAGAGGTAATATTATTTCATTAAACTATCAACTGTTTCTAAGTCTACTTTCATGATGAATTATAACTGTAAATCAGTATATAACATTTTATATCAAAAGAATATAATAACCCCCCCCCCAAAAAAACATTATCTTATTAATATTAAATTTTTAAATAAATCTGTTTTACCAAACATAGTAATTCATTTGATTATTATATTTAGATTTAAAATAATAAATAGTTCATTTGAATAGTCTAATGAAGATCACATGAATTTAATGCATAGATCTAATCAGACCATGACCTGAAAATCATTGTTTCTATGAATGATAGCAGATTAGTAAACTTGTCTGAATTTATTCTGTCTGTCTGTATTATAATTATTACTATTACTATTAGTAGTAGAAGTAGGAGTTGTAGTAGGAGTAAGAGTGGAATTAAACAACCTTGAACTTAAAAACTACCTGATAGATATTATTTATATCACACTATTTACAAAATAAATTGACTTACTGTC